ACCTGATGGGGTGGTGGTCAGTTTAAAATATGTAACCAGTACCTGATGGAGTGGTTATCAGTTTAAAATATGTAGCCAGGACCTGATGAAGTGGTGGTCAGTCCAGGATTTTTAAACCGTGCTGGAGAAGTGAAGTTTATAATGTTTTATGTTATGGACGCATAAGTTAAGCCTCGCGAACACGAATATGAAATACATTTTGATTAACGATATTCTGTACTCCTTGCAAGTTTATTGCATATAGAATTAGCTTCATATATTTGTATGTTCTGGTCTGTATATCTGTTTATAAGTAGTTGGACTACCCGTTCCCTGGATGGAAGCTATGTAAAGGACATGAAAAGTTGCTTCCCTTATATGTAATTGTAAAAAAACGCAAAATCGCCCATAAAAACTGCAAAACACAAAATGTGAAACCGCACATTTGCGTGTATCTCCGCATGGACCCAACAAACCTTTATTCTAAGTTTGGTGAAGATCCATCAATAGAGGGGCGAAAACGAAAAAAACACCCATAAAACCCGCAAAACTCAAAACGGAAAATTTGTATGTATCTCCCCTCGGACCCTATGACCTCCATACCAAATTTGGTGAAGATCCATCAACAGGACGTGAGGTAGTGGTAAAAAAAAGGGCAGAAACAACGATAAAAACGCAAAATACAAAATTGAAAATGTGTATGTATCTCCCCTTGGACCCTATGACCTCCATACCAAATTTGGTGAAGATCCATCTACACCCTGCGAAGTAGTTACAGGGACAGACAACAGACAGTACAATTATATTTATACAGATATCGCACACTGTGTGCCGTATTAAACCGTTTAACTGTTTAGAAAAAAAACAATGACTTTAAGAACACCATTATAAAAAATAGTTAAATAGCCTCTTGCCGATATTATTCTAAGATACGAGTTGTAAGTGATTCCTGTAATAAATGAAACACTTAATTTAATAATTTTGCTTAAAACCTTGAATTTTTGGAAATAATGAGAGGTTGTAGTTGTACATTTCCTTCGCTAATATAGAATACACAATAATAACCGATACTGATATAAGTACAATTGACAAAGAGAAACTTACCTACTTGACCAGACGTCTTGAAAGAGCTCGAGCGATTCCTTCATTCGGTTTTTGTCGTTGTCTTCCCTAAGTTTCATGTCGAAACCGGATGATGATACGAGAAATAAGATAGCTGTAATACCATCGAATACTTGAATCCACTTGCGACGTTCTCCACGTTGTCCTCCAACATCAAACATCCTAAAGTATATGAATATCTGAACCTTACTCACCTAGAAAGTTTAATGTCATGATAAGTTATGTACTTGGGTATAAGGATGTATAAGCCTTACTCACGGTAAGTGACATCTATAATGTTTAATATTGTTGAGAAGTTACGTACTTGGATCTATAGATGTAGGAGCCTTACTCACAGTAAGTGAAACCTAGGAAGTTTGATGTTTTGAGAAGTTACGTACTTGGGTCTAAAGATGTAGGAGCCTTACTCACAGTAAGTGAAACCTAGATAGTTTAATGTTGTGAGAAGTTCCGTACTTGGATCTATAGATGTAGGAGCCTTACTCACAGTAAGTGAAACCTAGGAACTTTGATGTTTTAGAAGTTACGTACTTGGATCTAAAGGTGTAGAAAACGTTCGAAGATTTGATTTTTATTCATTATTTTATGACCAAGTATAACAGGTCAACATGTAATGAAACCACGTTTATTTAATTAACAAAAGAAACTCCACGTGATGCGAGTTTGTGATTGTTATATATAATGCGCGCTCTCTCTCTATATATAATTATATAGTTATTTTATTCCGTCCGTTCTTAACTCTGGCTCTAGTCGTACAAATGGATGAGAATGGTAACACAATCCCCCTAGTCAGGATGCTAATCCATCGCAGACTAACGCCCCAGTTATTAGCTGGAACCCAATTTATAGCCGAGTAGTCTGATTCAAGTATAGGGTAAAGTAGTCAAACACATGTTGACCAGGCACGGGTGTCTGATTCAAGTATAGGGTAAAGTAGTCAAGGACATGTTGACTAGGCACGGGTGTCTGATTCAAGTATAGGGTAAAGTAGTCAAGGACATGTTGACCAGGCACGGGTGTCTGATTCAAGTATATGGTAAAGTGGTCAAGGACATGTTGACTAGGCACGGGTGTCTGATTCAAGTATGGGGTAAAGTGGTCAAGGACATGTTGACCAGGCACGGGTAAGCCTCCTGTCCGCAACCGTAGTCTGATTCAAGTATGGGGTAAAGTGGTCAAGGACATGTTGACTAGGCACGGGTGTCTGATTCAAGTATAGGGTAAAGTAGTCAAGGACATGTTGACCAGGCACGGGTGTCTGATTCAAGTATAGGGTAAAGTGGTCAAGGACATGTTGACTAGGCACGGGTGTCTGATTCAAGTATAGGGTAAAGTGGTCAAGGACATGTTGACCAGGCACGGGTAAGCCCGCAACCTTTCGATCATGAATCAAAAGCACTGACCACTAAGCCACGTCGCCCACAGATAAATGATCGTGATAAAAAGTAGATGAAACATCAACTGGAAAATAAGAAAGGATTATAAATGAATGGGAAGTGACTGATCCACAAGATCAGAACGCAACTCCAAAACAAGAGCATTATACAAAAGAAAGAAGAGAAAAAAAGGAGATTTTGAGGAATGAAAGAGAAAACACAAAATATATAATGTGCTACTAAGAAAAAAAAACACACACACACGACAAAGCTAGAATATGGGCTATCTGTGCTCTACCCACTAGTGGTATCGAAACTCAGTTTTTAGCGTCGTAGAATTACAGCTGAGGAGCTGGAGTTGATAAACAAAAATGTTTAGTCTGATCCTAAAACTATTACAGATGACTTTATCGTTTTTCTATTGTTTTTTTCAACACATTTACAACAGTGTAAAAAGAAAAGAAATATTCGTTTCTCACTAACTCAGAAAAGTATACATTATTGAAATACAGGAAATAGAAAAATACGATATTTTCTTTCCTAATTGCTGTAATTACTGTATATCGACCCGGCGTATAAGTCGGCCCCCTAAATCTAGTCGTAAAAATCCTATATTTTTCTGATCACCACCATATAAGTCTACCCAAATTATACAGAAAGCCTATACATTATACATATATTTCTAAAGACAGACGGATATCTACAGAGGAGTGTTCATATACAGTATTTACAACAAAACTTAAAATCCATCAAAGTTTTCATCTTCGGAATCTGAATTGCCGAAAGTTCATTGAATTCACTTTGAGTGATCTGATTGTCGTAGACATCACATTCCTCCATGGGATCATTGTCGTTCTCGGTCGTTGGGCAGGCATCGTAGTCGTATGACTAAGTTGTGTCACTTTAACAAACGGGTACACCAACTGAGCAGTAAAGTCAGAAATATTTCTTTTCTTGGCCCACGCCTTGTCTTAGAATAATTTGATTTCTTGTTACAATCAGACCAAACTTGGGGTTTTAGTCAACCCATTTCACAAGATCTGCTTCCAGTTCAGACCAGAAACCAGTTTTTCGTCCCCGAGCTGCACACTTTGTTCCCTATCTGTTTTCGCCAATCGAGTTTTTTTATTTATGCCAAATTCCCCACTCGCAGCACAGATGTTTATCTTTTCGGCAAATTTCGCGACTCGAATCTTGAATTTTGCTTCGCATCTCATACATTTTGACTAAAAATTGTCTTATATACCGTGATATACGATACTAAAAGTGTGAGTTTTTGGTCTTACATTAATAAAACAAAAATAATGTGGAAAATAAAATAATGAAAGATAAGAAAAACGCTGTTTAACTGTAAATTAAAATCGTATTTTTAGCCGCAGCAGAACGGCTCATAGAACAGCTCTAAGCTTTTCAAGTACAAACTTTTAGCTCATAGCTCTGTCACTTCTTGACAGATTGATGTATTTGACCTTGCTCAAGATCTCATAGCTTAATTTAATCTAATCCTGTCTAAAAGAATCGGGTATACGTGCGCCCCACGCTTGGTATTACTGGCGCGCATAAATATAACTATTAAAAAGCAAAAAAAACAAACAAAGGGACTCATAGATTTATTTACTCTAATCCTGCCTGAAAGAATTTCAACTTCCGCGACTATTGAGAATTCTCTATTGTTCCTCATTATTGTAAACGTCAGAATAAACGTCTAATATCGTCATTATCAAACCCTGTTGAATAGGGCTTTTGACAGGAAAACGGACAGTTAAGTAAGAAACAAGGGGTTTTCGTTTGTTTGCTGTTAAATACAAACCTAACCAATGATCTATCCGTGCTGGGCACATCGTGGGTTTCAAACCTAAATTTTAGCCCTCAGACTTACTGCTCTACCACTGGTGGGTAAAATGCCTCCTTCGCATGTCATTTAGATGTATAAGTACATCCAGGTGTATGTTGTTATCTTAGTATATGTGTAACTGTCTAACAATGACAAACACATACCTAAGTCAGATAGAATCTGTAGTTGTTTCTTATGCCCTAAAAGTGTAGAGCGAAATTTTATTTGGCGGTAACGGGAAGCGAGCAACTGAACCTTTAATCCACAATTCGATACGCTAATTGCTAAGCCACGCTCAGGTCAGGTAGGTTTGTTTCTTTATCTTCTAAGCACAAAGCTACACAATGGGATATTTGTGCTGTGTCAACCACAGGTATCGAAACCCGATATTTTAGTGTTATAAGCCTTCAGTCTTATCCTGTGTTAACCATGTTAAAGAGGTTCAACGGTAATTTCACTGTTACAGAAAAATGTTTGTTTGTTTGTTTTGAATTTCGCGCAAAGCTACACGAGGGCTATCTGCGCCAGCCGTCCCTAATTTAGCAGTGTAAGACTAGAGGGAAGGCAGCTAGTCATCACCACCCACCGCCAGCTCTTGGGCTACTCTTTTACCAACGAATAGTGGGATTGACCGTCACATTATAACGCCCCCACGGCTGAAAGGGCGAGCATGTTTGGTGTGACGGGGAGAGGAAAATGAAAATGTCCGTTTTTTTTTCACAAGTGTCGGGTAAAAGTCTAGAATTCCAAATATTTGAGGGATTCTTGGTTTCCGCATAGTCTTAAAAATCCAGAATTCCAAATTTTGAAAGACCATTTTTTTCCCATAAATTTGGAAAAATCGGCCTAGAGTCCAAAATATTTTAAGAATTTTTAATGACTCCTAACATTAATATCCTACATACTTGAATTTCCCTTACAACTTTTAATTTGTAAAGTTTTAACAGGAAAGAAATATCTTATAAAGCTTTAATTTCATTATCAATCAACTTTAAGTAATAAGAATATTTAAAATTGTACTTGCAGCTTTCAAAAAATAACGTGGTAAAAATAATATGTTAATTTACCAAAACAGTTGAGAGCTACCCCCATATTTCTTCGGGACTTTAACCTGAAATTCGATCTTCTGAATTTCTGATGTTCTTATTCTGCAACATAGGATGTCCTGTTGATGCAACGGAAATACAGAAGGTAATCCAGGGTAATTATATAATTTCAAAAATATTTACATAAGCTTTTAAAATATCACTACTCATTCTTCCATTTGTCATAAGACAACGAATAGTGTAGAAAGACCAACTATAATACAGAACAGTAAAGTGAAAATAAAATACAAAGTGTCTACGACGTTTCATTCCGTTTGAAAATGGTAAGCATGTAATCCCGTAAATTATTAAATCCATAACTAGGTGTGCAGACAGAGGAAGAGAAACAGCATAAAATTACATATAATTAAATTTTTCATAAGACATTATGTTAGGCCTATTATATTTTGTAACACTACATTCTTTATGTAGTGTCTTACGAATGTTCACAAATTAGAAGATTGTATAATGGTAGTATTCCATTGCAGACGACGCATTTCGCTCAATCCAGAGCTCATCAGGCCGGGTGGGACACAAAAAACACATTACTTATATAAGCCATTTGTTAAACCAACAATTGATATGGTGTGAACCCATATTATTATTATTATATACTCTGCCTAAGGGACTAGATAAAGAATGTATTGTTAAAAAATATAATATGACTAATACTAATGTCTTATGAACAATATAGTTGATTATAATCATGTTACGCCATCTTGTGAAAAGCGTTCACACCATAACAATTTTC